GTCTCGAATAAAAATCCGTCTAAACACAGAATCAAAAATTATATTTACATGTCAACTTCTTAAAAAGTAAATATGCTGAACATACTAAATTAAAATTCTCCCAAAATTCAATTGTATTCAAAAACTTTTTTAACAAAATAACTATAAAGTGGAAGGCAATGATACGAACCGTGGACACAAACAGAAGAAGATGAACGGTCACTATATTTGTTGGTGAAATGGCGATGCCACTTGAGGATGTTACCTGCCATGATCAGTCAGTCATAACAATCTAGGATTATTTACATGGAACCCTCTAGTTTATTAGGCTCAATTTCATGTTACCACCTTTAATTACCCGAGTCTCAAAAAATCACCTTACGTGTCATTTCGTTACCGCCAGCATAAAACCATCAACACCTACTTCCGTCCAATTTCTCCTAACGGTTTTTTTTTATAGGGAATTTCTGATGGTCTGATCCTCCATACTATCCAAGACCTCTCATTTCTCAATTGCAGCAATGGTTCTATGTCTCAGCATGCACGCCATTCATAGAAGACCTCCACTTCTCGGTCGATGCAGCAATGGTTCTATGTGTCAGCATGGACACCATTCTTAGAAGACCTCCACTTATCGGTCGATGGCACTGACGCTATACTATTATCTTTCTATTCGGACATTATTGTTTTTAGGAAACGAATTTTCTTGTTATCCATTGTTCGTTGAATGGGTAATACCTTTTATATGTACAAATACTGTAGGACAACTATGCAAACTCATATGAAAAGGAAACTCTAATAAGAAAATAAAACTATAATTGGCAAAATCCTATAAAAGGAAATTATTATATTTAACATCCGTCTCCTGCCTTTTTTGACACCATTTGGATGGGGTGTTCATGTAACATAATCCATAGTTACCAGCAGCAAACAACAGAGAGGAGTCTTATCCATCAGTGAAGGAGATTTGTGAGGATGCACAGAAAATCTTAACATCACCCGCCGCTTAGCTCAAGCCTATATTTGAAGGGGGAGGAGGTCTGTGGGGATGGTGGAGGAACCACAGGTTAGGCAGAGCACAGCAGTTCAATAGTAGAAATGCAAACCTCCTTCAAGAATAAATCTTATAAGAATGTTACAGCATTTTTTTTGTTATCAAGGTTATTCTTTCTTGTGAATGATGCTTGGCTAAGTGTTTGAAGGGTATAGATGGATGTTGGAAGTCTAAGATTTGGATTCCATAATTTTGATTTACATAAATGATGCCATTACCAATTCTCTTTAGAAAGATTAAGATATTTGATTTTTGTATACCTTAGGGTTAGTGAGGTTAACACAAATGCTGCCAATTTGCTATTCTTATTTCTTTAGAAAAATTTAATATTTGATATTTGTATACCTGAGGTTTAGCGTATTTAACATATATGACGTTCATTTTCAATTCATTTGATTTACACAACAAGAAAAAAGCATAACAGGTGTGGCTATCCTGTCATACAAAAAACTGCTACTATTAAAATATTATAGCATTAGGAATTGGAAATTAAAATGATTAAGATAATCAAATGTCATGTGCAATAAACTTAAATATTAAAATTAGAAAAGTTAACTTTTGAATTAATAAATTTACAATTATCAATATAATCTTTCTTCATCTAAAATAATAAAGTTTATAGGGCCATTTGTACTAATAAAAAAGAATAGGGTAAATGGTTTGTGTTTATTACACACACAAACACACACGCGCACGCGCGCACACACACACACATTGAAGTGAATCCCAATCGTCTAGCCTGCTGATGAACAAAAACATGGTAGGATATTTGTAAATTTAAGAGCATATATAACAAAAAGAAAAAACAGAATGGTTAGACTTAACTCTTATGATTATATACAAATGATGCCAAATCCACATCACCTAATGTGATACTGACTCAAGACTTGCTCTCACAGTTCTGCTTGTTAACCCCTTACTACAAAATTCTCTAGGAAATAACTAAATTTTAGATTGGAAAATTCATAATTTTGCAATCTGTCAAACTAGCACGATTACTACCAAAAAGGACAAGAAGAGGTGTATTTCTATACAAGCAAAAAAGTTTCACTATATTGGAGTAAACAGTATCATAAAGATAAGCCCAAGATGCGAGTGAGAAAGAAGTTTAAAAAATGTGCACAGTTTGCTTGTAGAGAATATCATTAAACCTGTGATTGATTAAGTGTCCTTTAGGTGTCTCTATGTGTTTGATTAAGTGTCCTTTAGGTGTCTCTATGTGTTCTTAGGTAAAAACTTGCAGCATAAAAATTGAAATTAAAAAAATGTATTAAATTAAGGAAGACACTATCTCTGTAGTAAGAATGTAACTATTAAGATAAGATGCTTCTAATGTAAGAGAATACATCAGTTCATTAAAACCTTACTCCAACAACAGATCATGGTGCATGCTCAAATAAAAGAAACTTGATAGCAGACCGAGAATACCTGAATTAATGACTATCAATCAATCTAGTTTTCCTGTTC